CAAACAATCTTGTCATGAATTATTGGTTATGGAATTCAATTTGAAAAGATATTACAGCTAGTCTTTTGTTTCATTAAACAGCAGTTGAAATCTGGAAAGATCTTGAAGATCAATTTCAACAAAACAATGATCCTTGCCTTTTTTATTTGAGAAAGAAGCTTGGTTAGTTGGTTTAAGGATAGATGTCTGCAAGTACCTACTACACTTAATTAAAAAAAATTGGGATAAGTTAGTTTCCGCTAAGCCTGTTTATACATGTTCTCATTGTAATTGTGATGGTGTTTGTCGTATGATTGAAGAACAATAGAAAGAATATGTTATGTCGTTTTTCATGGTCATTAATTTGTCTTTTGCTCATGTTCAGGGTCAAATCTTATTAATGGAACCTTTGCCTTCTACCACTAAAGTGCTTTACTTAGTTGCTCCATAAGAAAGACAATGAGATGTAAGGTTGGCTAATCCTGTTACTGAAACTATTTGTGTTGTTAAATTCATTGCTAATCAACGCAATAATCGCCCATAATACAACAATTATGGTTTGTTAGGTCATGTTAAAAACAAGTGTTATAAACTTTATGAATATCCTCATGGTTTTGTTGCTCGAAATAAGCATAATTCAAGTCATGTGGCTCGAGCCAATGCAAATGTCGATGCTTCTACTCAAGAATAGGTTGTCACCTCTTATTATGATTCTTTAAGCATTAATCAGTGTCAACAGCACCTTGGCATGCTCACCGTTAAGTTGCATGCTACTTCTCCTTTGATAATCATTCATCTTCGGTCAATCTTGTAGTGCAAGGTAAATTTACATTTTATGTGAACATTTTTAGTTTCATCAATGATGAGCATTGATGGATTATAGACTCAGGAGCTTTTAAACATGTATATTATTTAAAATACTTTTTGATTCATTAGTTCTTATTAATGGAGGTAGTATTATGCTTCCTAACAAGACTCTGGTTGCAGTCCAATTTTATGAAAGTATTAGATTATCGTCTCAGCTGGTTCTCAAAGATGTTCTTTATGTTTCAAATTGTAGATTCAATCTTATTGTTGTAAGTTGCTTCTAAAAGATTCAAATTCTCATATGATATTTCACAATACTCATTGTTTGATTCAAGACCATTGGAAAGTGATAAGGAAGGGTGAACTATATCAAGGCTTATTTCTGCTGAAATCTTCCTTGTTGCCTCATTCTTGTACAATTGTTGTTAATAACACTGACTTTGTTTCTTGACATCATCAACTTGCTCATATTAGTTTACATGTTTTGAATTTGTTAAAAGAAGTTTTACATTTTTCTAATGAAATACGTTGTAATAATCCTTGTACAGTTTTTCCATTAGCAAAGTAACAATGCATTCCTTTTCCTATATCGAGTTCTAAAACTTCTTTTCCTTTTCAATTACTTTATTTTGATATTTGGGGATATTTGAACATGTAACGTATCATAATTATTGACTTTACTGACTTTTAGAGAGAGGCACAACAAACAATTAATGACACTATTATTGTAAGCGTATTTACAAAGTAACAAGTCTAGCATTTTGTAGTATGCATGCATGTTAACCTTAACAGCCCATCTAACATATTACTAAAAGCATAAATACATAACCACCCTTATCATTCAACTTAAGCCACATGTGACCACAATGCTAACATTCACTCTACTTTCTTTTTTCTTCCCCCTATTTAATAAGGCATCCCGCACACATTCTCACGAAATTCTTCAAAGGTAGCTTTAGCCAATGGCTTAGTTAACTCGTCTATAGTTTGATGAGATACTATAGTTTACGTGTAGTTGCTTGTCCATCGTCTTCTCATGGACAGCGTGTACATCCAAATCTATATGTTTGGATTGAGTGCAATAGACAGGGTTGTCCATCATCTTCTCATGGACAGCGTGTACATCCAAATCTATATGTTTGGATTGACTGCAATAGACAGGGTTGGCACTTGTTGGTTCCTCATGCTGATGTAGACCAAGATCAGTTAGTAAAACATTTATCCAAGTGACTTCAGCAACAACATCAACAATACTCCTGTATTCAGCCTCCATAGTTGATCTTACCACACACTTTTGTTTCTTCAAGCACCAGACCACCAGACAGCTTCTAAAGAACACCCCGTAACCAGACATTTGATCATCTAGATTTGCACCCCAATCAGCATCAACAAATGTTGTGATAGTCAAATTAGTTGCACTTGGTGAGATAGTCAGGCCATAATTCATTGTACTAACCAAAAATCCAAGAATTCTTTTAACAACAACTAAATGTGACATCTACGGAACATGCATAAACTGAGCAACTTTTCTCATACTAAAGGTATTGCCTGACCTTGTGTAACAAACATATAGCAGTGATCCTACAATATTGTGATATTCACTAGCATCCTGTAGCAGTTCACCCTCATTTTGAGACAACTTTGTAGCCACACCGATAAGAGTATACGACACAACAGCTGACTTTATACAATACTTTTCCAGTAACTCTAAGATAAATATCCTTTGAGTTAGAATAATGGATTTGCCACAGCTTTTTGATTTTATCCCCAAGAAGTAACTCAGATCACCTAAGTCTTTAAAAGAGAATCTTTCGCTTAACATATGAACTACTTTTCTATTACAATATGTGAATGGCCAATTATGACTATATCATCGGCATAAACTAAAATTATGTACAAATATCTCCTTTGTTGCAAATGAAAAAAAGGATCAACCCAAGATACTCCAAAGCCCATTTACTCCAAACTATCTCCAAGCTTGTTATGTTAGTTATGTGGTGTCTGTCGAAACCTATATAGGGATTTTTGCAACTTATAGACGAGTGGAGCACCATCCTCATCATACTATTAAAATCATGGTGGTTGTTGCATGAAGTCATCCTCATTAAGTTACCATTTAAGAAGACATTGTTTATGTCAACATGCCTTGTGTTTATCCCTTTAAAACAACAATAGCCAACATTGTGTTTAGAGTAGTGAACTTGACTAAAGGGAAGAACATCTCTTTAAAATCTTGTCCTAACACCTATGAGAACCCCTTGGTGACAAGCTTCAACATTATTTTGAATAACATGTTCCTAAAACTTTCTAAGGTCTGTCAAAATTTCAATTGCCTGAGACTGGCCTTTGTAAAATTTTGAGATACACAACTGTTTCTTGTGCCTACAAAAAGAAATAACATTTCATCAAATATTAAATGTCTAGATGTATAAGCACGCTCATCTTGAGCAAGGCATAAAAACCATAATTTGTGGACTAATTCCCAAGTAAACACATGGTTGAGATCTAAAAGCAAGTTTATGATTTTGAAAGGGTCTCAAATACGGAAAACTCATACAACCAAACACCTTCATGGTGTTATACTCTGGTTTCTTCCCAAATAGCTTCTCAAAGTGTGAAACATCATTCAACACCCTAGTTGGCATCCCGCTGATAGGAAGAGTTGATGCCACAACAACATAACACCAAAACTTCTAGAATAGAAGCTTGAGCTAACAGAACTAGAGCCAACTCCACTACATGACGGAGTTTCTGCTCTACTACACCATTTTACTACGATGTGTGTGGCCATGTAACTCTGTGAATAATACCAACTTTAGCTAATACAGAGGATTACATGGATTATATGGACTTACATGCTAAAGCATAAATCTGATGTATCTGTTATTATTTCCAATTTCATTAATATGATTCATAAGTAGTTTGGTTTTCATTTAAAGGTTTTTCGGTTTGACAATGCTCATGAACTTCAGTTTACAGATTTGTTCTCCCAATTAGGTTTTGTTCATCAATTTTCATATGTTGACATTCCTCGACAGTATGTTGCTGCTGAATTAAAGCATCAACATATTTTGGTAGTTGAACGAGTTTTTTTCTTTCAGTCAATAGTACCTTTGCGTTTTTGGGTGAATGTATTTTGATTGATACTCACATCATTAATCGAGTTCGATCTTTTATTTTGAATAATAAAACTTTTATAAAATGTTATATTATTAAATGTCAGACTATATGAATCTAAAAGTCTTTGGTTGTCTTTGTTTTGTTTTCACATTAACGAGTCATCGAATCAAATTCTTTGAAAAGTCCTTTTCCTGGTGCCTTTATTGGTTTTGCTCCAGACACAAAATGTTATATGATTTATGTTCTAAAAACTCAAATCATTGTAATCTCAAGAGATATAATTTTTCCTGAACAATTATTTCCTTTTCATTTGGCAACTTTAAAAGAATCCATTATTAATTATTTTCCTTTAGTATCGTTGTCCCGTATTATTGATGATGTTCATCATGGTTATAATCTAAATAGTGTCCAAGAATCATGTTTTCCCGATCTTTATATTCCTAAAGGTAGTCATTCTGTAAATATTGCCCAAACAGAAGTAGGAAACAATATTACCTAACCATGCAGAATAGATTAATGGCCATACATAAGTTGTTGGTCAAGTTATTCATAAGGGTGATAATTTTGATGATCATGCTCTGATACCATGCTCTGATACCATGTATGAAAATAATTATAGTTGTATGTATTCAGTAGTAAAGAAAACTTCACAATGTATAAGAGTAAGAAAAACTCCTTTAAATACTAATACAAAGAAGAAAACAATTACAATAACTAACTAACTTAGTTAATATTTTATTGACTATATCTAACATACAATACATCTAAAACAAAAATAGATTACTACAAAGAAAATTCTTAACTTATATGAAATATTGAAATTTTCAAAGGAAGATTGCCCTGACCATCCCCTTCCATCTATGATCCCTTCCACTTTTTCACTTTCTCTTTAAACTGGCCTGAGGCTTGAAATATCCATGCCATTCTTCAGGATCTTAGCTCAAATTATAATGGCTAAAAATTCAATTAACATTCAAGACTTAGACATGACTGAACCCTACTAAACATGCTTGTAGAAACATACATAAACACTTAATTCTTATAAGCATACTTTTAATTAACAGATAGCTAATTTACCCACAACTTGTGTTTGATATACCAAACAAATCTTTATATAAACATAAGAATTACATGTTTTGAAGCACAATGTTTACGGTAACCATGTATAAAAGGAGTCTTCCAATTTGTCACATAAAGTTCTTAGTTGTATTAAAAGCATCATAGATCGGTTACTTAGAATGTTAGTACATGACAAGGAAAATAACCACGAAAGATGCCACTAGTGTAAACATTCTTCTGCTTGATTTGGTCTCGAATACTTGAGAGACGGATCAAATTATGTACTAATTATCGACAAGCATCATACTCATATCGGGAAGTAATGAAAGCTGCAAGCAAAAGTAGTTCCGCAAAAGTTACAAAGAACAAAAGTTCATTCATATACCATCTTAAACTTGTCCATGGTTCCTGAGAGTATTCCCCTAGATGCATCTATATCGTTTCCCTACATATAAACCATGTGCCATAAACTAACATCAGGATCAATGAAACCAATAACATCCAGAAGAAAGAGAGTTTTATTGCTGATGCATACATACCATCCGATCCAGCATACGGTTGTTACTATCCACCTCCTCGTGTGTATCACCCGACAGCTATTGAAGTGACATTTACCAGAATATGCTTGCATACCGATTGTGTTTAATTTTTTTTTGGAAGGTAACAATTGTGTTGACAGAAAAGGAGTTTCAAGACATATGATTATATTCTGAGAGTGTTGTCAATTCCACAACCTAGTAATGAATTGAGATTTCATTTGACATGCAACTGAATCAGGATTCAAGCTTAAAATTAACACCTAAACATGATAAATCCTTGAGGACATTGACACTTGAATAATAGAAAAAAGATAGACAAACAACCCTGTTTGTTTCTCGATTCAATTGAAGAAAAAAAAGAAAAGAGACGAATATGATCCTAAATAAAGATTTAGAGGGGAAAAAGTTAGGATTCACGGTAAAATTTTTAATGGAAGAGATTAAAACTTTTAAATTGAAGATAATCCACATCTTTTTTCATAAAACTCTTATTTTCTATTGTTAATTTCAACCATTCATTCTCACTCATTCCAATATTTAAAAAAAACCATAAAACTTAAAAGTTGCAGGAAGGAACATGTCACCTTTAATGCTCTTTAAAAGTAGAGTTTTAAGTTTACCTTCCCCCTACTTTGTTAAGGAGACAACATGAAGGAATGGGATTAAAGAATATACGAGAATCATTCCTTAACCATAAAAGAACTCTTATTTATTAACCAGTTATATATGGAATTAGTACAAACAATTGAATTGGTGATGACATAACTCATAAGATGGACAGGACTTACTCTCTTCAGCAGATTGACTCTATCTTGCAATCCTTCCATTGCTCTTTCATTTTCATGCTCATTGATTTCGAGTGACTGGTGCGAGTAAGAAGATGATGCCCTTAATCCACCTTCCTCGATGCAATCGAAAAGTGCAGCTTTGCTGTTACGCATGTCCCTGCAACCAAAGAGGGGATCTTATTACTAATTATGACAGCCAGAATAAGAACACAGCATAACAGTAAACTGATATGAAGCATAGAAATCCATAAACCAAGGTCATTATGAAAATTAACCATCAAGAGCAGTCGGATCGTTTTAGTTATACATAAGATAGGACATTTCAAATTTAGAAAGATCGAATGAAAATTCTGATATAGAACATAGTTATAATGGCAATAGCTGCTTCGATCACAAGACTGAGAGTTGATAAACGTAAATAAGAAACTAATCCTTTCTCAATACAAACAAAATTTGATAAAATAACATGGAATATCAATTAATTGGAAAATCACACGGAATGGAGCAGAGTAAATGAGCAGAAGCGAATAAATCAGAAAACAGATCTGAACAAGCAATTTAAGGCGACCAAATTACTGATCACACAAAAGAATTCGCAGAATAAAGATTCAACCGACCGTCTAGGATTCATGGTTCTTCAATGGGAGAATCAAAGCCCTTCTTTTCTCTGGTTTAAAATGAAGATGGACTAATTTTTCCCTTTAATGATGCCCTTAATCCACCTTCCTCGATGCAATCGAAAAGTGCAGCTTTGCTGTTACGCATGTCCCTGCAACCAAAGAGGGGATCTTATTACTAATTATGACAGCCAGAATAAGAACACAGCATAACAGTAACTTGATATGAAGCATAGAAATCCATAAACCAAGGTCATTATGAAAATTAACCATCAAAGAGCAGTCGGATCGTTTTAGTTATACAATAAGATAGGACATTTCAAATTTAGAAAGATCGAATGAAAATTCTGATATATGAACATAGTTATAATGGCAATAGCTGCTTCGATCACAAGACTTGAGAGTTGATAAACGTAAATAAGAAACTAATCCTTTCTCAAATACAAACAAAATTTGATAAAAATAACATGGAATATCAAATTAATTGGAAAATCACACGGAATGGAGCAGAGTAAATGATCAGAAGCGAATAAATCAGAAACAGATCTGAACAAGCAATTTAAGGCGACCAAATTACTGATCACACAAAAGAATTCGCAGAATAAAGATTCAACCGACCGTCTAGGATTCATGGTTCTTCAAAATGGGAGAATCAAAGCCCTTCTTTTCTCTGGTTTAAAATGAAGATGGACTAATTTTTTCCCTTTCACAGCTATGTAGCTGAAGGGAAATTATTATCTCTATAAACCAATCAACATTTACCGATTAATGATTTACATTTATATTTTTTTTGGTTACAAAAGGAATTGAAAAAGCAAAACAGCAGTAAGACATATTAAAGCCTCTGGAAAAGAGACTCCCCTTGAATCTGCAGCAAAGGGAGGAAGCTATTTCTGCTGGGGGAGAACTAAAAACAGCAAGGTCTTCTTCAAGGTCACAGCCCATCTTTGAAAGAGCATCCGCGCAAAAATTTCCTTCCCGAAAAGTGTGTTCAAACGTCAAATTCCAATTCCGAGCTTTTAGAATCCGAATGTCGTCAATAATTACTCCCAATGGATGATTGGAAGCATCCCCCGATTCCAAGAGGTGAAGAACAACTTTGGCATCTACTTCACACACAACATTACAGTAAACATACTTCCAAGCAAGAGACAATCCAACGCGAATGGAGAAAAGTTCAGCTGTCACGCTTGTACAAATCCCTAAACGAGAAGCAAAGCCAAAAATCCACTCTCCTGAGGCACTTCGAAGAAGACCCCCTGCACCAGCAATACCCGGATTCCCTTTGCTGGCCCCGTCAGTATTGAGTTTTACAGAACTTTCGTTAGATCTTCCAAAAACCGAACTCATCATAGACTTACTCATTGGGTTCAAAAACTCTCTTGCATCGTTCGATCCAAAGCCTCCATATTATACAAGCGAATTGAGTAACTTCAGCTTGTGAGTGTCACAACCAACCCCTCGCTGAAAAGTCCGACGAGTTTCAACGATAAGGATTTTTGAAATGGTTTTGAAATGATTTTGTGAAATGTTGGGAGTTGTCCTGAACCATTTTAAGTTTCGATTTGTAACACCATAGATTCCCTACTAATTGAACATTGTCTCTGTCTTGTACAATCATTCAACCGATTTAAAACCTAATTATGCTAGATGAGTTTATTAAAGGAACTCCTAGCCTAAAGTATTAAATTATGAAATTTAAAAACCTAATGGATTAATGAAGTCCCTAATATTAATCCTATTATTTTTATTAACCAATTACGGAACAGATAATTGACTTGAGTAATCGGGCATTTTCAAGCGGAAGCTCAAATCGAATTACACCCTAATTAGAGAATTAAGATGAAATTAAACCTAGTGTCAAGGCTCTAATTGTTAACCTAATCAATTACGTCAATTTGGAAGTTCTAATTAAAGTTTAAGGGCTAAAATAAATAGTCTAAAGTTAAGAGACTAAATCTAAAATTTAAGACTCTAACTAACCCTAATTATTTAAACTAAGGCTCTGGTTATTAATCAGATTAATTATTTAAATCGAAAAGTCAATTTGGATCCTTGAGCATGAAGGTAAGGACCCGATTGAAAATTACCCTATTTTAAAGGACTAAAATGTGAAGAAACTAGATTAAAGAACTAAACTTGAAATATAATTATTAACATGCTAATATAAGAATATACCTTAATGAACGTACCTAAAAAATGAAAGAAGAAAATTAGAATAATTATTAAAGAAAATAATAAATAAATTAAGAAAATAAAGTGATAAACTAAAGAATTAAATGAAATAAAAAAATAAAAATAAAAAAATATAATGGCAGAAATTTGATTCGAACGACCTAAAAAATAAAATTAGAAATTAGTAAAGTAAATTAAAATAAAATAAGGGTTAAATTGAAATAAAATAAAAAATGATTGCATTGTAATTAAATAAATCAATTAAGATTAAGGATTAAATTTAAATGTATGGAAATGTTTAGGGATTAAATATTAACTAGTTACATCAATTAGAATTAATGAATAAACTAAAACAAAGCAAAACTATATATGAAATTGCGTGAATAAAATAGTGACCAAGATGTAAAAACACGACAAATTTACATGCACCTAAAGGAAATAAACCAAAAGTTAATATTAAATCATAAAAATGAAAAATAACCAAATGAGGACAACAATTTGAAATAAAATGATTTAAATTAAAATTGAGGACCAAATTGAATTCGGAGAAACTTAGAATGGTTGCGGAAGGAATTAGACCAATGACTGGTTGGGTTTATATGGGTTATTGGGTCATGGGTTTAATGGGCTATGGGTTAAAAAAATGGGTTGAATGTAATAGGTTAATGGATAGTGCAAATGAGTTTGGTTGATGTAAATGAACACTTCCATTTGGACATTGGCTTAATGGTTAATTTTTGATGAAAATGGATAAATATGAATAGTCATTGGGCCCAAATAATCCAATGCTTAAACTCAAAATTGAATCTTTAAATTGATCCTCTAATTTCCATTTATGACATGAATGTCCCCTTAGATTCGACTTGTAATCAAGCACAAGTGTTTTCAAATTAGTCTTCGGTCACCTTCAGTTTGAATTAAATGGCCTGAACAAATTTAAGGTACAAAAACTGCCCCTATTTGCTTGTAGTTGTGAAACAATAACGAAGAAAAGACAAAAGATAACCAAATTTTGTTTGATCTGACAACAACTCCAACTTTGGCACCCATTACTTTGATCTGCTATTGATTTCTCCTTTCATCTTTCATTCAAATGATCTGCCACATTTTCAATTGAACATCTTACCCCCTACCTCTGAAGGCTCCTATATCACATATTATAGTTCGTTCAATCCATCACCTGCATAATCACAATAAACACACAACCCTTCTCATCAGCAGCATCAATTTTATCAAGAAAAACTAGTTGTGGCAAAACTTTCCACCACATATAATGAAATTCCTTAAATGCAACTATATGCAGCTAAAATGCTTATGATAATAGCTTTTAGACAATCAATAACTTAAGTAAAAAGACCCAAAAATATAATATTTTTTATGGAGTTATCACACCCCTAAACTTAAGATATCGTTTGTCCTCAAGCAATGGATAATGAGCAACAGAAAAATAAAATATCATGGCGAAGTATAAATCAGGACAATCAAGTGGTCTAAAATTTCAGCCCTTAGTAAAAAGTTTAGCTTCAACATGCTAGACTAATTGAGAAGTCAAATACCTTTCCCTAGGCCAAGATCCTTTGTAAGTATGTGCGCGTGATTGTATCTAGTCTATGCTTGACAAAATTAGAAAGTCTCTAAGTAAGTTCTTTTGTTTTGCCAAGGCATAAATTATTCATTAATCACAAAATTTACTCATATTTATTCAACACTTAAACTTTTAAATTTTTCAATTTTTTTATACTGCATAAGGGGAGTCAGCCTATCACAACTACCATCCCATACTCTAGATGAATGTGAGCATACCTTCCATCCCCGAGCTAGTCAGGCAGAGCCATCCCATGACTACTTTCATTCACTCATGTGCTAAGGCTGCCATTTATTCAAGGGGTTCCCAAGCAATGCCGTCACACAAAGGAGTGTCACTCTACAGCTATTTCGAGGCATTTATTATTAATTCAACACAATTCACAACATTAAGGAGTTTAACTTAGCCTTTTCATGCATTAATATAGCAGTTAAGTTCATTACCAGAATTTTATGCCACAACGTGCAAAAGTTCTTTCATAAAAAATTTCTAAGTTCCTCAAGCATAAAAAACATACAATCGTGTTCAAAGAGTCACAAAGAATTAAGTCCTAGGGTTGTTTTTATCCTCCTCAACAGTTATGTACAATAATTTCTAATCATGACAAAAAAAAATCATCAACTTATTCTAAGTAACTAACATAATCTTAACTCATGCCATAACAAAAAATATTTCCTACTAAACATTATCAATGCAACTGACTAAGTCTGAACACAATACCTTCCCCAAACTTGAGGGATGCATTGTCCTCAATGCATGAAAACTAAGTGAATTAAGCTAGTCTAAATGCAATGCAATTGCAAATGTTGTGGAGGTACCTCACTTTGGTGGGTCAACTTTGTTGGATGCTCGAGTACAACGTCTTTTGAGTGGGGGTGGGCTATCAAAATATGTGTCCTCAGACATGTACGGTGATGAGGTAGAAGCATGTGCATGGCCAGATGAACGCTTAAAGCGATGCCTGGTCCTTGGGGGACTAACTTTTCGTAGAAACTCCTCTGGTGGTGGGTTCTCAACAGGATCTTCCATGGGCTGGCGTGCTTCTGGTTCGGCAGTGAGTGTAGTGCTTTGTCGGTAGCTGGCTCGGGGGCAGTGTCCTCATTAACTGGGTTAGCAACAAATTCAGGCTAGACCTCTTCCTCATCAGTGAAAAACTCTATCTCAACCACCTGAGTGTGCTCTAAAGATATTGAGTTGTGGTGTTCATCGTTCTCAGCTCCTCCCTCTTCAGCAACTGGGGAGAAATGTGTAGCAATCAGGGAGGCGTCAATCGGAGAGTCAGGTTGAAAATTTTTTCCTGTGGTAAAAAATTCTTGCTCGCGAGTTTGTGTTGTAGTAGATTTTGGTTTGGGAAAAAGTTTTTTAGGAAAAGGGGTTAAATCCTCATTGTTGATGGGCAATAACTCTTTAAAGAACGAGTTGAGTTTAGCATCCCTTTTTTTGACGTATTGGAAAAAAGTTTTCATATGGCTCTCCAATCGCTCAATCTTTTCCTTAGTTTCACGGGTAACAGTTACCACAACAACAATCATCACCACAGCAACAGTTTTTGCACCTCTTTCCAAAACTTCACCTAGGTTTTCTTCATCAAAACTCATCGGCTCAAACACCTTTCTCTCTGTGATTCCCTCCTTGTTGTTAATAAATTCCTCGGGAACTTTCTTTTTCTGGCACAAAGCAATAATTATATTTGGAAAATTAAAGTACTTTTTTTGGCGCACTCGTGTATTTGTTCGACGATTATCTCTCCAACATTTATCGATCTGTCATATATGATTGAGTGAAGAATGAGAATACGCATCAGCAAAACAGTTGAGTTATGGGATGTGAACATTATGCGAGCCTTGATGAAATGGTTCCACAGCTTGGCTATCAGTTTTAGGGCATGGCTATCAGTTTTAGGGCATGGCGATCAATTATCTTGCAATTGGGGGTATTTCCTTCCCACTTAGCCCACCATAAGCAAAGATCGTTGAGCACGCCATAGTATGTATCAGACCTTGGAACCAAAATTTCTTTTGTCGGTTCTCAACCTTCTCAATCTTGAAATAATAGTTGATGGCTAAGGGAGTAAATCGAATGAGCTTACCCTAACATATACAGAGTGTTGAGATGGGTCTACCAAGTGCGCATAGAACTCCTTTACCATCACTGGAGCCACAACCCTTGGGTGCCGAGCAAATTTTTCCCACTAGTGTTTCTTAATGATGTCTATCACTTCAGACCTAAAAGGCTCTTCATCCACACCTGGAAACATGAATCCATCCTCCAAGAAAACTTTTCTTCGTTGCAGCTCTTGGAATCTCTTTTCAA